CCCCCTTCATTTTCTTTCACCCCCAGTTCACTAACGGTAGCGGCCGCGACCCGCTCTCAAAGGGAGGCTGCTGCACCAATCAAGCCATTGAAATCTATAATCTATCAGCCTTGCATCGCTGTGAGTGAGTGGAGCAGCCAATCTTTCACTTTTGCCATTCGTAATAGTTTCGGTGAATTGGCTTGGTGGATCTACAGATCGACAGTAATCACGCGTCGGCCATCAGCCTAAATTATAAATACCGCCTCTGTACGCTGTGTTACCTTGTCGCAGCAGCTGGGAATATGCCCAGCCCACTGACGCCTGACGCTAGATCATAGCGTGTTTGAAGAGTCGCATTGGATTAAGACGGTGTGCAGCCCAGCCACCACTTTCCTCGGCGTCTCTCTGGGCTGAAGACGCGAACCTCAAAGCACATTTGAGCTGCTCTTCAATTTACGACGGCACAAGCCCACCTTCCTAAAGTCTCCAGCATACACATGATGCTGCTCTTCATGAAAGTGTCACATCATATGTAACGATTGTACATCCGTACACGAACATGACAGGGAGAACATAAGCCGCAGTTTGAACAATCCATGTTTAGCTTGGCTGCTTCGATCTCATCATTTCAGTCAATTACCATTTAGTCATTGTCTTCTTAAAGCTGCATCCTGTCATATTCTCTGCGAGTTGTTCAACTGTCCTTGGTCATCTTTCTCCCCTACTTGGAAAGATTAGCCTGTTTACAGATAGGCTAGCCATTGGGTAATCTGTACTTGCGTGTTGCCTTGAGAATGCTCTAATTCCGGCGGGCGGTTCCATCCCACTGGAACGCGTGACAGCGCAACAACCTTCCGGGGGAGGAGAGCAAATAACCCTCTCCAGCCTGGCAAGTTTTGAAGAATCACCTTAGGCTCAGCACGTGGAGAGAGCAAGTGGGGAGGAACGCAGGTCATCTCCAAATGAGAAAGAAGCATGAACCAATTCCCAAAATTGCATAATCGCTTAACATATAAGGCAAGTTCCAGAACTCCTTGGTGGCATGCCAACATGCCACAAAAGCCTCAATCTGACAAATTCAAATTCAGCAATGAGGCCTTTTGCGTGTAGTCATCCCTTTTCTTTAGTCGTCACCAATATCCAGTCTGGCCTCTGCATGGGCATCGATCTAATGAAATGCAATGCATTTTTGTTTAATAGGTAGTCTAGATTGGTTGGTGAAATCCAAAAGGTTAAACACCTAATTGAAAACTTTCTTTTTTCAGAAGAAATCAGCATCAACACTCTTGTAAATGACGTCAGTTATCTATCTTGCAACTCACTCACATACAAGCTTTCAGTCCGAAGACCTCCTTCGCCAAAAGTTACAACATATAGGTCATTGTTTTTATCTTTGAAAGGTGTATTCTGCAGAGGTGGGAGTAAGTCCTACGTGTGCAAGTCATGAGCAAGTCTCAAGTCTAAGGGCCCTGACACACCTACCCGATTTTGGGAGTCAGAGGCCAGTGCAGAGGCAGTCGGGCATTCGCGGCGCCCTACTCAGGTTGGTGTGTCCCGCACCGTCGTTGCTTTACGACACATTTTCACACCTCCCTCGGCCGATTCAACATGTTGGCTGGCTGCTGGTAAGGACAGTTATTGCCACTTGTCGACTGAAGTCTTTGCAGTGTGTTCGTAGGCGGGCGGCGTAGCCAACGCAGGCGACGTAGCGTAAAAATTGGGACGCCTTCGGTACGCGTTCTTTGGTCTCAGTTTGGTGCGTAGCGGCCTTTAACCTACACGTATCAAGCAAGTCCCAAGTCACTGTGGTGAGAGTCAAGCAAGTCAAGTCATACGAAATTCCCCCAGTTTCCGCATTTAAATCAGTTAAAATATTGTGGTTATGAAAAGTTTATTTTTATTTTCAACATAAACAGCAATGGAGAGTGGGGCGCTGAAATGATAACCCTATAAGTTCTAAAAGGGCTCTAAAGTGAAAACAGGAGTACAACACACATGTTTTACATCAACATGTTAAGCCTCCTGCCCTGGCTCCCCTTCAGCAGGGTCACAGCATTTCTCCATGGTCTGTCTAAGGTGCTCCCATATGACACTGTCTCATTGTTTTCCTAACTGTGTCTGTTCACAAAGAAATATTGCATCAAAGCCAATACAGTGTGTGTGTGTGCGTGTGCGTGTGCGTGTGCGCGTGCGCGCGCGTGTGTGTGTGTGTGTGTGGACGGACGGACGGAGCAACATTAAGATTAAACACATTTCTTTAATTTGGGAACACCAACATATACATGGAGTTGGTCAGACCATGTGCTTTTAACCCAAAAGCCACTGTGTGTAGAATAGTTGGATTTATAACATATTTCAAAGTGATCCTTTTTTGTTAGCACAAAAGTGAGACAATGGCTGTGAGAATTGTTTACATGTGTCTGTTCATTAACAGCCTTAACTAGATATTTTAACTTGTTTATTAGTGTAACAGCATTTAATGTAATTATTAATACATGTTGTGTATAAGCTCTATATTTCCATTATATTCTGGGGTAATTACCGTAGGTTAATTTCCATCAGGAGTGACTTTTACTCAGCGAACATCTGGGAGTTCTTGCTCAAGGACAATTAACAGGACACATTGCTGTTATGGAGATTGAATATGAAATGGCTACTGGCCATATTGTCATCCATTATGTTGATGGTTTCATGTCACTTTGAAGTTAGCTTTATATTCCAGTCATGTGGTTTACTGGGTTTGCTCTATTGCTCAGAACTACACTGATATAATAGAGATGCTTCTCTAATCCTATCATGTTTTACTGATGGGACAACAACAAACTTCTGTAACTCTCTTTGAAAAAGAAACTTAATATGTGTAATCAATGGCTCTGTACATTATGATATTACAAATGGGTAAATTACACCACTGGCTTTAACACTCTGCAGTAGCTGTTTACCATTATATGATTAAAATCAGAGAAGGTTGCCTAGGACCCTTGCCTCCTCTCTCCTATAAAACCCCAAGCATGTGTTAGGAAAGGTAGGACAGAGGGGGAGCATTAGCTTGAGGCAGATGAATACTGTATAGGAAAGACCTTGGTTTGTCTTTATTGAAATTGGATTACTGCTTTCTGCTAGTGCAGCCTGTTGTTTGGCTGACTGACAACAGGGCTTGTGTACAGACACAGCAGCCACTGTGCGAGCAGATTTATCATGGCCTATAAATCTACTGCAGAGAGAGGAACATCTTAGAGTTTCTCCTTAAGAGCAGCCAAGCAAGAGGAGAGGAAAAAGAGTAATTTGATATAAAGAGGAAGTGGAGGGTCACAGAGAACCAGATTTGGTATCTGAGAAGGGAAAGAGTCTGTAGAGAGGAAGTGTTGTAACATAGATTGGGCAAGGAAAGGAAAAGAGAAAGTAGGGGAGATCATAGGAGGAGCAATAGAGGTAGATGATGGATTTAGATGAAATAAGAGGTGGATGGATAGAATGAAGAGGATGTTATAAATAACAAGGGCAGAGGAAGGAGGAGGAGTCGAAGCAAGGATAGGTTGGGATAGAGGGCGACGAATTATGAGTGGTCGGATTTAAGTTACCATTTGAAATAATACTGTATGAGTAGTCTAAGGTTTGCACCTGTAAGGTTAGACTCCAGCTGCAGAAACATGATTGATTTCATTTTAATGGGTCTGCAAGAATCAGAGCCAGAAGTTAATATATATCCATAAAATACATTATCTGGCCGCTCAGAACTCAAACCCTGTTGCCTGATGTGAATGTTCCCATTAAGGGTTATTTTTGGTTGTTCTTTGTAAATAGCTTCAGAGAAATATGAATGAGTTGGGAGATTTGATTTAATATCCTAAACAAGTTAAAGTGAATTAATTATATTAGGCCAATGAAATGGTCCGTGGCTGCATCCGGTGCGTTACGTAACCCTGGTTTCACCTTGGTTGGTGGTTTCAGCTTGGTTCAAAACTAGAATACAACACATACTTTGCACACACACATCCCTGCTCTGTAATGATCCATAACATTAGTGTTGCTTTGGTTTGGCCTACTGGGGATTACTTTTTATTGTACATTAATGGGCACGCTTATGGGTATAGATTTATTGAGACTTAAGCCTCTGCAATTAACAGGTCTGCGGATCGAACAAAGCTGTATGTGGCTAGAAGCGCTCATGTTGACGCAGGGAAACTGAGATGCAGTAGTCGCTTAGATAAATGATCAAGGGAGATGAAGGAGTAAGTTAAGGAGACATGGAAGATGTGAGATGGAAAAAGGAAGGCTATTAAGTTACAGATGAATATTAAGATGACAAAGAGGGAGAGTCTGAGTGAGGGAGGGACATGCTAAGTATTAGCCACCATTGACTTCACAGTGCATCTGGACATTGAATCAGCTCCAGACTACTGCAGTGGAGCGATGGTCTATTTATCTGGCTAATGTCTAAACCAGACACAGCAGATTATTGAATTTACCATCAGACTGCATTTCAGAGATTGAATTTCATCTTGGCTTTTCATTCACATTGGCCGGCATCGGAGGGAGAGGCAGATCTTTTTAGATGTGTATTTTTACATATAGGTTACAATAGTGTTGGCAAATTGTAATGATTTGCTGTAGTCAGGGTAGTGTTGTGCTATGGCAGCAAGACACATTACAAATTCAAATGAAACAATTCAACGGCTGATCAAATTCAATCCATTAAAAATATTAAAAAGTGCAATATGTGCTGATTTTCAATGCAAAGATTTAAACTGAAAATTAAAAGGAAAGGTTAAAAAATGAGTAGTATAATTAAGTAAATGCATACAACAACCTACTGTATCAACGTTGGAGTCAAAAAGAATATGTAATGTAATGTGGAGTAAAAGGAAAAACACTGAAAGCAAAACAAGTCTGTGAATGATGAAAGATGATGTGAATTATTATGCATATTTATAATAGTATTTGTTGTTCATTAGTATCTCCTAAACTCTGCAAACTGATTTGATATTACCTGTTAGTAATGTAATGATGTCTTTTCTTTTTCAGGGAACCCATTAGCAAGAAGAAATCAGGTAAGACACATCTATATTTGTGTATTTCCAATACAAAGGGGGTTAGGTGGCCTTGGCTATGGTTTGTTATTTTATCTTAGTTAAAACATTTGATTAATAGGATCATGTACTTCAGTAGTAACTTCGCTGATTTGATGGGACACCACTTCTGTGTATTATTTTAAAAAGGAGTGCATGTCTTCTACAATTCATCTGTTATTCACCCTATAATTTGATATTACTTCCATCTAGTGGTCATATAGTTTTACACACGCAAAAAGGAAAGACATCTATTCCACCAGCCCAAACATTCTTGCTACGTGGACAAAGACATATTCTGTTTCTACTCAATTGTCTGAAATGTTTTCCTGGAGGGTTGTTTACGGAAATCACTTATTCCATTGTTTTATTGTCTGTGTTTATATTTTCTCTTCTCTTTATTTATTTAATTTTCCTTGTCATTCTTTTCAGTTTTTTTTCTCACTCATTTTCCTTTCCATTAGGGATTGTGGAGAGAGCGACTGCTTTCCTAAACCGAGGTAGTAAACACTTGGTCACGCTGTGTGTGTGACCCAGCAGGCTGCTAGTGGCCCCCCCCCCCCTCCTCCCCCGGCCTGGGCAGGTTAGAGGCTTAGGGCTTGAAATGATTCCGTAAAGTTACTTTAGTATATAGTGTTTGATTGTCACACCCTGGGTGGCTCATTTCTTGGATGCATTTAAGTATGTTGCAATGTGACAGGGGTAGGAAAGAGTAAAGACAATGGCATTTTTAACTGTACACTTACATGTGAGAAATGTACAGAGATAGTAATTTTCAATAATTCTTCATTGCAGAGCTCTATAGGGAGAAGTATTGTTACTGGTTGGCTTGGATATAAATAGTTTAAACCAAAGAGCCTTTAGTGTATTACGTTGGTCACTTTGGTTATTTTGGAAGCCAAGTGGATCTTCAAGTTAAAAACTTGCCTCATATTTGTATTGTTGTTGTTTGCATAATATTTCACTTAACCTGTGTTCCTCCAGTTCAGCTTTTAATACATTTTGCGAAACTAATATTAAACTTCTGATTGACAAAATTGAGAATCTATTGCATATTGATTGAAAATATATACAAGTGATAAAGGAAGGAATCTTTTTTGGTGTGTGTGTGTTACAAACACATTATTTTAAAAGGTGTCAATCAGCACCTTGAGTAAACAAAATGTTTCAACCAACATATTCTGTAATTATATGTCATCTATCTGGGTTTCTTCATATGAATCAAGAGAAATGAGCCATAGTGATGTAAAGGTGTGCTACTGGTTGAGTCTTTGTGTGTTAAATTGGATTTTACCCAGGCTTTGTTGGTGCTAACACTGGTGGAGGTTCTTAGCGGTGTGAGTTTGTTTCTTTGTGGAAGTTGTCAAAGCTATGTTGATGATTGACTTAACCCTCTACACTAAATCCATAAGCTTCACTTCTATTCTCCTACTCTCTTTATTATTCTTCTGTCGGTTTCCCTAACTCCATTTCTCCAATCACATCCGCTTCCTCGTCTGCTACATGTCAAGGCCAGGATGAATCCCCTTAATCTAGATAAGCCTCTCCTCACTTAAAGCTTTTTATTAAAACGCTTTGGCAGAAATGTTGACCTTGAAATTATTCATGTTAATCATCAAAAAGTAGTTATTATGCATTTTGACTGGTTTGAAAAGATCATGCTTAAATTGGAGAGTGTGTATAAAATCTGACATTTTAAAAGTTCATATCCCCTTCAGTCAGTGATATGCAAGACATTCTAAAGGTCAATATCTCAAAGCTGCAATCATAGGATTCCAAATTAACGGGCATTCATTAAATATCACATTAACAAATATGACCAAAGAGCCCCCCTGAAAAGCAGAGGGAATTGAGTGGAGGCTTTTTTACATTATTGAGATATCATCCTAAGCCTGCCTACCAAAGGAGAGAAAAGGAAAAAAGAGCTAACCAGCCTCTGTTCTGATTGGTTCCCGTTAACAGGAGATTCCTCCGCAGCAGACCCTCTCCTCCTCGACCAGTATGTGGCAGTCACAGACTATGAGAAGCAGGAGAGCTCTGAGGTCAGCCTGCATGTGGGTCAGGTGGTCGAGGTCATTGAAAAAAATGAGTCTGGTAAGTTTAGATTGTGCACTGTATCGCCACCAACTGTTTATCTTGATGCATCCGACTTTTAATATTGTAGTGGATGGAAATGTGTATTCATTTGCATTTTTTCCCTGATCTTTATGGAGAGTACCGGTAGTTTAACATTTGGGGTACATTTGAGTGGAAAAGTGACATCTGTGTAATGAGTATATTAGGAAAAACATAAAAACCCATCATACATTTTAAAGGTGAATTACCAAAAATCCTTAGTAATGTAGATATCAATCAACCTATCTTCTATATCAATGTTTTTTCCATTCTTCTCATTTAGGCTGGTGGTTTATCAGCTCCGATGATGCCCAGGGCTGGGTCCCTGCTACTTGTCTTGAGGCTCAGGATGACCCTGATGACTTCACTATTCCAGGGGAAGAAGGTACACACACTTTTTTCTTCCGGGTGATGTTTGTTGCAAATACTGTTTTTCTTTAAAGTAGATGTTTAGATAAAGAGACCCTATATTTAACTCTCTAACCCAACTGTATGTGTACACTTTTACTTATCAATTAGCTAGCAGAAGTTCAATAATAAATAACCTTTTTGTTCTGTCGTTTTTCCGTTCCTTTTAAAACCTTTAGTGCCACGTCTTTGGCACACACAAGACACCATATATTAAAAGAAGCAGAAGTCAAGGTTACAAAATGTGCAGATGTGGGGAACTAATGTAATGTTTAATGACCATAGTCTTGGTTTAAGACATATTGTATTGTACTGTCTGAGCCCTTGAGTCAATCCTTACAACATCTATTTCACTGATATGAAGCAAATACATTTGCAATGAGGGCAAGTACAAAGCACAATCAATCAATGTTTATTTATATAGCCCAATATCACAAATGTTACATTTGTCTCAGTGGTCTTCACAGTTTGTACAGAATATCAGTATGACAATAGGACACCCTCTGTCCTTTGACCCTCACATCGTACAAGGAAAAACTTCCAGAGAAAAACCCCACGGTTTAAAGGGGAAAATGGGAGTATGACAATAAAGTATGATGACGTTGTCCTTATGCAAGTCTTCAAGGAATAATAAGTATTGTTTATGGATACTCCTAAAACAATGATAGGGGCTAAGATGGCCTCACAGATCTTAACTAATTCTTGAAAGAACAGGTTATACAATAAAACCCTCTGACAGTAGCAGGGTCTAATAGTTTTCCAACATGCTGGTACATACAGGTTGGAAAAGGGAATCAGAGGTAACTAAACCATGAAGCATGGATTGATTAAGTGACACTAATATTTAAAAATATATACCAAGAGAAGATGTGCAAAACTGAAAGAGAGTGTCAGTTATACTAGGCCCGCCAGTACTGAACATACTTTCAATTAAGATTAAAGAAACATCCTTCAGATGGCGTGTATAACGTTCACTTCCTATTTTGCCTCACTTATTGTGCTGGGATGTCAGTGCCCCGGAGATTCTGGTCACTGCCGAGTCACATGGGTCGTCGCAGGACATTAGGGGATCTATTCGGCACTGGTTTTGGGCAAGGTGGAGCGCACGCCTTTCTTCTCCCCCTATTCTCAATGTGTGTGTGCACATGCTCAACTGAGTGCATGTTTGTTTGTCCATGTGTATGCATGACATGTTTGTTGCATGACAGATCCGAGCATGCAAATTAAATCCTTGCATGTAAAGTAGATTGTTTATTTCACTCTGATAATTGAACCAAATATAGTTTGCGTTAACAGGAATTAAACATCTGATTAAACCACAGTTCTACACAAAATATCTATAATAAATAATAACAGTATAAATAATAGAAGTAATGACTGCAAATCTAGTACAGTAGCAAGTTTGTCCTGTTTGTGGAGGATGTTTGTGTGTTTTGTGTGTTGCACATGTGTGTATCTACTCTCTCCATATGATGCTGCTCAAGCCTTGCCTCATTCAAATCAGTTAGCTTATGTAAATCTGAAGCACTTTGATCCTAAATTACATAGTAACAGTGTTTGGTATGAACATATTTTAAAACCTTTTTAAACAGACAGACAATTTCACTGCCTAAAAATATCAACACGTTTATATTTTTTAAACTCAGTTAGACTTCAAAACGCTTAAAGCCATTGCAATCCGAGTCTGCCACTGTGTTCCTTGTCTCCCATACCATTATCCTGCATTTATTGTCGCTCCGCTTTGTGTAAACCTGTGTACAGAAAGACAGACTTCAAGTTCTGATATTTAACTTTATGAATGCAGATGAGAAGTATACAGTGATTTACCAGTACTCGGCCAGGGACCAAGATGAGATCGACCTGGAGAGAGGCATGATTGTCGAGGTGATTCAAAAGAACCTGGAGGGCTGGTGGAAGATCAGGTAATAAATCAATGACGGGTGAAAAACTCTAGAAATGGGACATCAGACCTTAGATAATGATAATGGCAAAAAAAATACTTAACCTCAAACCACTGCCTGTAAGGTCAACACAGCCAGTTTCATTGTTTCTAAAGCCACATCTTTCCCCCTCTCAGGTATCAGGGTCTTGAGGGCTGGGCCCCGGCCTCCTACCTGAAGAAGACCGACCTCCAGGGCCAGAAGCAGACAGCGGGCGCTGCTGCTCATGCCAGCACCAATGACTTAGATGGGCTTTCTAAGCAGAACCAACAAAACAATGCAGCCAAAGAGAACCAAGACAACAGCCAAAAAGAAAACAGACTGTCCTTTTTTTCTGAGAACAAGCTCAGTAAGTGAATTTCAAATAATATAAATTGTCCTTTGCTTTTTATACTTTTTGCTGCTCCATCACTCAATATGATGTATAGCAGTTTGTCTGTAATGAAAAAAAAACATACACACAATCTTAGAAGTATACAAAAATATGATGGTACGTTAAACATTCAAGTATTTGACAAGGTAGTGTTTAACTCTAGCTTACAGTTTCTGCAGTGAGCATAACAAGTACTCTAAGCTGAAAAAACCTGTGTAATATGAATTAATATAAATAAAAATGCTTTGCAAATGTACCCCTTATTTATTGACCAAATATGTTTTTCCTCCACAGAAGTGGGATTAAGACACCGACCTCCTCCACGCAGAGATCTTACTATTGTAAGAGATCCAGTTAAAATCTCAGATGTACACATTTTTATTGTATAGGAAAGTAAAAGTTAACCTTTTATGCTTCTTTCTCACATTCCACAGCCACGTGGTACAAACCTCCCCAAGCCACCGGTTGCTCCCCTGGTTGAGGAAGAGTTCTACACCATAGCAGACTTCCAAACCACAATCCCTGATGGTATAAGCTTCCAAGCTGGAAACAAAGTTGAGGTGGGTGCAGCACTAAAAAAAAAAAAACAATATCGCAAAATATTTGGTTTTGTAAATGTTTTAATTAATTTATATATTAAAATGAAGTCAATCCTTTTTTTACCCACCAGGTGATAGAGAAGAATAATGGTGGTTGGTGGTACATCCAGATTGATGACAAAGAGGGCTGGGCCCCTGCCACCTTTATCGACAAGTACAAGAAGACCAGCAATGCGGTGCGCCCTAACTTCCTTGCCCCTCTGCCCAATGAGATGGAGAAGCTGAGACTGGAAAATGGTGGTTCTTCAAATGTTTCAGGCACAGATGACAGCTGGTCCAAGCCTTTACCAGATGAGCCAACCACTGCCCCTGATTCCTGTGCCCGGCCTAAGCTGAGAGATTGGAAGGCCAGTGCCAGCAAGGTTCCCCCTACCCTTGCTGGGCTTTTACCTCCAGCCCCATCAGCCCCTCCAGCTGAAGAGAAACCAGCTCTGCCTCCTCGAAGGGAGTCCATTAATAAGAGCTTTGATTTGGAGGTATCAGAGAAACCGAGGCCTGATCTTTCCAAACCTTTGCCTCCAAAACCCCCAGCTCCTGGGGTCATCATGCCGCTGGTTCCACCCAAAGCATCCCCCTTCAAACCGGACAAACCACCTGAGAACAAGAAAGAAGATAAGAGCAAAGTACTTCACCTCCGGAATGAGATGGGTCTTGAATGTGGACACAAGATCTCTGCCAAGGAGGTGAAGAAGTTTAATCTGAAACCCGTACCTAAGCAGCCGCCAAAACCCAAAGTAGAAGCACAGGAGGAGAAACCAGATGCAGCCGGCCCCGCAGTGTTTATGAAACCGAAGCCATCGATCCGACCTAAACCGGTTCCAGCTGCCAAGCCAGATCCTCCGGCAGAAAACAAACTGGACATCACTAACCTGAGAAGCAAACTGAGGCCTTCAAAACCTGCAGATCCCAGCTCCGAGGCAAACTCTCAGAATGGTGCCACAACAGCAGAAAAAAGTTCCCATCCCTCTGCACCCCCTAGCTCTCCTCCCCATCATATCCCTACTCTCAGCAATGGTAAGCATTGCGACGAGCCAAAACTCCCCCCAAAACACATAAATGGTCACAGTCTGGAGATCTCCCCTCCTCCGGCAAAACCAGCAGTGCCTCCCCACAAGGAACCCCCACAGAGACCCCCCAATATGCTTCCAAGGAGACCTCCACCTCCAAAGAAGACAGACCCGTCAAGCCCGACCGAGTCCAAGCCTCCACCTGCTCTAAGAGAAATCCAGGACTATCCCAAAGGCCCCCCACCCAGCCTCAGCAGACCCCCTCCACCTAAACCAAAGGGGTTTATGCCGCCACCTCCTAATAAAGATAAAGAAGGGCCCAAATGTAATAAAGTCCCGGTTCCTCCCAAGCCTCAGTTGAAGCCCGGCCCCCCCAAGGACAAGCTTCCACCGTTACTTATGGAGCCCAGTAAGGATGAGCTGTATTTAGCGGTGGCAGACTTTGAAGGGGATGACCAAACATCCAGCTTCAAGGTGGGTACGGTGTTTGAAGTGATGGAGAAAAACAGCAGCGGCTGGTGGTTCTGTAAGAATGTAGGACAGGAAGTCGAGACCTGGATCCCCTCGAACTACCTGAGCAAGAAACCTTAGTGCGATGTGCTCTCAAATCCATGACCACATGATTAAACAAACAAACAAAATATCACTACTTTGTAGCTAATAGGCATTTTTTATTTATAGGTACCTTTTTTTTTTTTACAACTGTTTTAAGTGACATTTGTTTCATTTTGATAAAAAAACATTACTCAAACAGAACCAGCAATAACACTTGACCTTGTTGTGTCCTATGATGTTTACGTTCTTTGGTTTTTATCTCAATTTTACATGTAAGAAGTGTTTTGCTTTTGTTGCAGTATTCTAGTCCCAGCCTGTGTCAGTGTTGCTTTTACTTAGGCGAGACTCTAGAATAGGGATCCTAACACAGAAATAAAGCAGATAATGTATCTTTACCCATGCCTTCGATGATATCGTGCCTCTATAATATTATATGCAAAGTGCTTCAGTGCTTATTAGACTGTATGCAACTGTAGACATAGTCCTTGTTGTTTGACAAAAATATCGAACTTTTACATCACAGGAGAAAATGCTAGGTGTTCAAATCCAGCTGTAGACAAAAAAGATCTATGAGACAAAGATTGCACATGAACTCACTGGGGGAGTTCCACGACTACATTTGGGCTTTTTAGTGCTATCAGAAATGACAAACAGACATTGTTGCCGAGTAGAATACTGTTTGTTATACTAGAAAACATGCATATAAGGTTTTCTGCTAATGTATTGCTTTATTTTGTTGGCTGCATAATTGTGGTTGCAGTGACTTGTAACAGATGTGCACTTTTTCCGTCATTTCACACAAAACCATTTTGAGGTTTGCACACGCTGAACGAAGGGGAGGAATTCCACAGTGCATTTTATTTGACATGTTATTAGCTATGTTTTTTTATACTCACTGTAACACATATTCACCCATGTAAAGATGAGGCTAGAGCAAACAAACTAAAACGTTTCAAAGAATCTCTGTGTGAACGTATTTGACCACAATCATGTTATATTACACCCAAAAAAAAGAAGTGTGAAATGGGACTTAAAGAGCACATCTGCAAATCTGTATCAGATGTCTGACTTAAGAAATTGGTGACCTACAGTGATTTGTGCAATGATTTACAATATTGTAAGTGTTAAGTCTTACTTTAACCGAAGTCTGGTGCTAAAATAACAGCAAAGAATGACCATTGTATAAAAATAATGTTTGACATTAATGCTTGACTGGTATCAAGCATGGTCAGTATAGCTAAATATTTTTTATTGTACAGAAATGAAAGGCATATCTTAGCTGTTGTCACTTTTTCTTTGATGGTCATTCTGTCATCTATTTGACTCTGTACTGAGGAAGAGGAAGAAAGAGCCAAGAAGGAATTGAGTTGTTGGAATTATGGGATTTGCTAATAAGAGGAGTTATAAAGAGCAGTGTCGTTTTTGTTGAAAGTAACCTAAAGAATTATGTGAACTGGATGCTCATTTCTCACCAGGTTGTCGAGAAATGATTGTCTACATACATTGTGTTAGGTTTGCTAAATAAATAAGCAAAATTGGAACATAAAAAACAAGTTAATCGTTTGCTAAACAATCAGACAAGGCTACAAGCTGTAACACCGCTTTTAGTCGCTATAATGTTGTCACCTTACGTTCGTGTTTAATACAGAAAAATGCTGAAGGGACCCAGACAGAACATTTTATTCTCGGGGGTTATTTCACGAGGACAAAAGGCAGGTACAGAACGGGGTAAGAAATGTGTATGGGTTGATGGTGTCATCATTTCAGTATTGTAATCATATATACTTTTTTTGCTATGTACTTTTCATTACATAAAGTCTCATGTTGCTTAAGTCAATAAAAGTTTCAGATTTTTCAATCCAGTTGTCTTACTGTCTCAGAATTCATATTTCAAATGTCCCAAGAAAAACAGTCACTTTTTGAAGTTGTTTCATTTTTTACTTTCATTTAGATTATTCTTTCTTGTTGCACCATTCCACATCTCATTGTATCCCTGTAGAGTTTATATGGCCATCTGTTGTCATCATCATGCAAGTGAGTACTCCCATTTCATTTTTCAACTAAACTATTATTTACTTTCTTTTTTTTATTCGACATACTATAACTTTTTTCATATTTTCCGACATAAAACACTTTGACATTTTTCATATTTTACGACATGTGACCTTTTTTGATTAATTAAACTAAGACTTTTTTCATATGTTCAGACATACTTTACAATGATTTTTTTCAAAAATGTCGACAAACTATACCATTACTTTTTTCAACATTTTCCACATACTATGATTTTTTTTTAACCAATTTAAAGTATGAAATGAAATCATATTTCCAGACATACTATAATATGAAATTTGTATTGAATTAATCTATTATTTCTGAATGATTTTTTCTGACATACTATGACTTTTTTCCAACGTTCACTGCCACTCATAAAAGAGCCTATGCAACATCCACTATTTAGAAAATCTGCCTTTATTAAGAGTTATTATTTACAACAGTGGTTCCTTCTGATACAGTTTCATTCACACTCACAACCCCTCAATACAAATAATATCACGTAAACTGCAACAGAGAGGAAGGCATACATGGAGCCATTAAACATGACAGAAAAGATCATTTTTACAACAAATTTAAATACTTTTGGGAAAATGTGAGGGAGAGAGAGATAAAGCTGTACCTGATTGCTGACCCAGTTCAAAGTAAATAACTAGGTCGAATTGCTTTAAAATAAAATAAATACACTTTCTCTCACTAAACAAGGCAACACTTTCCTCAGCTGCAAACTTTAGGTTTAAGATTAGACGCATCTAACAGCAGGCTAAATTGTTGCACTCCCTTCAACATGATATGAAGAGTTATGATCCAAAATAAGTGAAAAATATAAATGATCGCTTTCCGTAAAGTAATGATTATGAAGAATTGAGAATTTCCTAGCAATGCTCTTTCTTTCAAGAGGTTTATTACACCTATTCTTTGGAGTTTAACTCTTCATATATTTCCCCCTCAGTGCAATTGAAGGCAAAGTTTAATACAAAATAAACCTCTTTAAGCTTAGCAAAGACAGACATGGAATATTGCACTTTGGTTAGCAGGCAGTACATTCACTGCGCATGGTATAACAATTATAAACCTAATACATATTGTTTTATTCAAATTTAAATCCCCTATCTAATGTCCTTCATTGAACAACAGTATTTTGCTTTGGCTTCATCAGTTCACTTCCCCATCCAGTGTGACTGAACTTACAGTAAAAAAAATACAACAGTAGAAAGAAACAAAGTATTTTTCCCTACTCTGGTCAAACCTCATTCTTTAGTAAAAATTAAAAAGAAAAAAATTAAAGTTTGATCAGGATTAAGCCTCATCCCCCATTTCAAATTAGATACAAAATAATAAGCACATGCTCCATACCAATGGTGTTAAAAAAAGAAAAACAATTAAATTAACATTTACAGTGATTAGTCTTGATAAGGTTGTTCTTTTTCAGTGAACATAAATAAAAGCAGACTCTAGCTGCTGTATGACATCAGCTGACTTGTGGATTTACAGGTCAATGAGCAAAGCCATACAGAAAAAGTAAAAAAATAGGTCAGTAAATTTGACTGTATATACTAGTAAGTAGTAGTACATTTGGGTGCATTTTTGGTCATGATATTTGGAAGAAGGCAATCGTTAACAAAAAGTGCTTATGTACTGGCTCACCAGCTTTCATAAAAGACAAAACGGTCTTCCTTCCTTAAGAAAAAAACAAATCCTCCCAACCAAATACTACTTTTGCTTATTTACTGATTATTAGTTTGACAAAAGAAAATAAATCAAAACGCTGTATGAAAGCAGCTGCTATGCAATGATCCATGTGGAGCACACAATGAGTTTTACCCCCATCAAATACAACAACACTTTTTTAAAGAATGAAAAATAAACTTTAAACATTACTTAAAACATAAAAACTCACTAAAACATTAAAAGAACCTAATGAAGGGATGGGTATGCGTTACAGACGTGGCAAATTCAAACTAAGGCAGCAGGCCATTGAAACGCCTGTGGTTGAATGGGTGTTTATGGTGGCCAGGAGATATTTTGCAACGTCACAGGTTTTCGTTTTTTTAAGTGGTGGAAGAGTCTTGGTAAGGCACAAACTTGGAGAGTTTATGTGGTGAACTTGGGTTTGGGCAATCAGAACTCTCACCCATCCTGAAGAAAGCCTCCTGCTCCCTTCTTTTAATGCCGAGCTCCTCTTCAAGGGCCTAAAGTATTAGAGGAAAAGCAAAAAGTAAGAATTAGATCATCTTTCACATTGAGGGATTAAACCTTTATTCACATTTGTCTAATGCCTTACAGGTGCATCACTCCTATGCGCCTGTCGTCTTTTATGCTCCAATCCAAGTTAAAATCAAGGTAAATGAATAGTTTGACCCTAATGATAAACTTTGTCCTCTATCTTACCAAGAGGAAAGCTTATTGATACCACTCTCATATCTGATGTTATTTAAGCATAAAGACAAGACTCCAGGAATGCCATTGGCATTTGGTTGCAAATAAATGGTCACAGCAAGTTGTGTTTTTATTCATTTGTGTAAAAACTGAACAACAAAAACATGGATTCTTTGACTTTAAAAAGTAACCGTTTTCCACTGCTATTAGGCTTTATGCCAAAGCTATAGTTCCTTACTACATGTGCAGGTAGGAGGTGTCGATCTTATCGTCCAAGTCAACACTTGCTTTACTACTTAGCCCTTTAGTTATCAGCTGTGTTTTAGATAAATATTTGTATATAAAACTTCCTAATAAATATTGATTTTAATACTAAACCTCAGCAAGGACGGCTTCACTTTGATAAGCCTCTACTGTCCTATCTCTCAGTGCCACATCCTTATTTAAACATGCTGTATGTTTCACAACAATCAGAGTTTTTTTCAGACCCAAGTAGTCATGCTGAGTCTGTCATGGTGGTTGCTTAACTCGAGTACATGTGCGATGTGAATTATTTTGTATATGTTCTTTGTAAAACATAACTATAATGAGTATAGTTTTGTGTTTAAGAGCCATTCATATAAACGATTACAACATTATGACAGAAAACACATTTACCTTCTTCCTGGGCTTCAGCTGATCCCTCCAGTCTTTCATCAGCTGGTTTTGCTGTTCATCCACCTGCTTGAGCCTTTGAGTCTCGTTCTCAATCAACAGGTGACATTTTTCATTCTGAAGCACAAAACAAACTCTGGTTAACAACTGCAGCCCATTTATTGTGTTTTTGTTTTTAGTTCAGCACATTCTATAGACTGGACAAAAACATGGATACGATAAACCGGTTCCTCACACAAACCAATCGATGTGCAGTGTAACAGATAAGCGTTTCATTCACCTGAAGCTGCTGCAGCTCTCGGATGTTGCTCTCACACTGGCCAATCATCTCTCTCATCTGGTTCTCGTGTTTCTGCTGCTGATTCAGCCTCTCTGCCTTCTGCCGTCGTTCCTCCTGCTGGGAGAACTACAGAGGGACAGAAGGACTCAGTAACTTAATCTACTTTATGCTTAAAGGTCCCCTATTATAATGTTTTTCATCAATATAGTATAGGTCTCAGATATATACAGAACATGTCTCTGAAGTGTTTGGCTCGAAATACCAAACAGATAATGCATTGTAGCATCCCATAAACCCCTCTGTTTCTGCCCTGTTTCAAAAGTGCTGATTCTGTATATTTTACTTTAGATGAACATAAGGAGCCCCTCCCTACGCCCCTCTACGAGATATTTGGTGACAAAGAACACAATGGTGCTCTAGGAGGAGAATCAGGTGATAAGGTGGGCGGGTGTTACCTTGGTTGGCGATTGGCTAATGGTTACACAAGCCTAAAAATCGTTATGACATCATAAAGTGGCCAAAAATCAGGTTTTTATAGAAATGGATCAGGACAAAAAGTGAGCAAATATTTTTTTTCCTGGAACTTTCAGAATCTCTTCACAAATAGGGGACACATGTTTATGTATAAAATACATGAACAAGTGGATTTTGTATAACAGGTGACCTTTAAATATAAAGTGAGTAAACCCTTGCTGCCCGTACCTGTTTGATCTTCTCTCTGTCCTCCGAGGAGCTGCCTGTTGAGTTGATGCGGAGACTCTTCTTGAACATGGCCATGCGGGTCTTGGCTTCGCCGCGCTGGATCTTGGGCATGCGGCTCTTCTCCTGCTGCTGCCGAGCTTTCAGGATCTCAATCATTCTCTGGTTGTAGCACTGCATCTGTTCCTGCTCCTGTAGTGACGCAGGACATAGACACATTGTCAATTAAATGTAATATGTTTTCAGGGAATATGAAAAATACCCTTTGACATTGCTACTTAAAAAACACAAGTGACACAGGTGGTGGCTGTGACTAACGCAGGCTAAATGCTGCATGCTGAACATACAATGGAAGATTAATACCAGATATAAAACTTCATTTTGACATTTTGACATTTACATTCCACTGATTTACCTTTTCGTGTTTTTTGAGAAGCTGATGCCTCTGGAGGAAGTACTGGTCTTTCAGCTGCTGCTTCAATAACTGGTGTCTCTCGTAAAGGTTCTTCTCCTCCATGTCCCATATTGTACCTTCACGCTCTAATCAAAGCAAGGAGGGGACAGAAGAAATTATCAAGAGTTACTAAAAAGGCAATGTGTCAACACTGTGACATCCTATTACATCAGCGCTGGGCTAAGATCAATAAAACCTAAGGGTCATTTGATCAGGCGATACATTAGGGTTTGAATTAACTCCTGTGCTGAACAGTTAAGTACCTCTGATCAGCTGGTGTTTCTTGTTAAGGCATTCCCTCTCCGTCTCTGCAATCTCTCTCTTGTTGCTGGTGATGAT